TGGAGAGGGCACTGGCCCTGGCAGCTGCAGCATCTTCCCATCTGTGCTGCCCGGCCTCCAGAGGCACCGGCAGCCGCTGCCACGTCCCAGTTCGGGGCAGGAGGAGGGAGAGCCTTTTTGCCTAATTGAGCAGTGCTCGCTGCTGGGCAGCCTCATCTGCTCTGGGGAAAAGACTTGGCTGGCAGAAGCCTCCAGCAGGCTGGATTTGGTGTCCCAGGCCACCCCAGACTACATCTCTTTAGACTTTATTTACTGTGCCTTGTGCAAACCTTAGAGTGAAGCCAAGATCCTTAATGTCCTCATGGGCTTTTCTCTGACCCTCAGCACTATTGTTGCTGAATACTCAGGCAAGAGAAAGTCAAACTCTGGTTGTGCTGGCCACTTTGGGGACAGCATTTCCTGATTCATGTGTACTTGACTCTATAACCCTAATACCCTTGTAACATAGAGGTTATCTCCATGTTCTGAGCCTAGAGCTGTAGTGGGTTCCTATTGATAAATCTCCATAAAAATGTCGAACTAAGTTTATAGAAGTCCCCTTGTGGCCTGTTTTTATAGTACATATACTACTTACATAGGGGACACTGTTATTTGAACAAAAAGTTTCATGGTTATTTTGGATACATAATTAATATGATTGGAAACTCACTGCAGAGTGATGAATAGTTATAGTTCCCTTAGTGCAAATATTTTAAAAATGAATTTTTGTATTTTATCCACAAGCAGGATGCTATGGTAAAAAATTAATCTAATTCTCAAATTGTGTTAATGCAAACGAGAAAGAATCAGAGATTGGCATCTCATAAGCACAATATATTTTAGTTTTTTCCCGGTGATGTGGTTAGAACTCCTAGGTATACACTTAAATTTACTATAATAAAGTTTTGTTTTATTAGTAATTTTTATTTATTTACATTTCGGGCTAAAGATGTCTGTGTAGATCTATTGAAATGGGTGCTACTCTGGAGGCAAGCACAGTTCTAAGAAACCAATCAACTGTTTTGAAACTAGCAAGCTTCATCTCCAAACTATGTCTATTTACAGAGCAGTGGTGTATCATTAATTAAAATTTGATGATGTTTCAAACACTGCTAGTTGCCACAGAAGCTTCCTTCCTTAATTCCTTAATTCCTTCCTATAAGACTGGTTCTATTAGAGGAGAAAAGATGAACTTAGGAGCTCCCGACAAATTCGGTAACAAGATTTTTTTTCGCTACTAAAAGAAACAAATAAGGGCAGGGGAAGGGAGCTGGCAGGTTTATAAATTAAAATAACACCGGATTCAGTTGTGAAATAGCACCAATGTAGGCCAAGAGCTGCCTAGTCAGCTCACACAGGGAACGTGGCACTTGAGCATTGCTCTCCCCTTCTCCTCCCTCCAGCGACGTCCATCCCTCTCTCTGCAGCACAGCCAGAGCTGCACTGCTCTCCTCCTTCTACACTGATAAGGCAGATGCAGTAGATTCCCTTTGGCTATACTCATCATGCTGGACTTTTAAATTCCATATTCCCCTCATGGGTGCATATGCTGTGTTTTAAGAAGGCCATGCTGAATGTCACCACTATGGAAATGAAGGCACCATCTTCATAGCTCAGCTGCTGCTAACAGAGCGTGACTGAACAGCACTGCAGAGCCAACTGATCAAAAGGAAACCCTGACAAGCCTCATTGTGTATTTAAAAAAAGGAAAAAAAATCCTTACAGGTCTGTCTTTAGCTGGTTTAGGAATGTGTATTCCAGAGGCAGTGAAACAGGAGTCTAATGCTATGTTTATTTACGTACTCCAAAGGTTCATAATAAACATTGATTAGATCTGCTGGAAGAATAAAAGGCATAAAACCTAAAACATTCTTTGTAGAGGAATAGACTTTCATAAAACACCTTGAATTAATGCCAAGATGTAAAACAGTCTTCATATGTGCATATGCTGCAGTAAGGCTCATGGAAATGGCACAAGGAGAAGCTTTTTGTGCTGCAAAAGAGAAAAGTCCTGCATGGCCCTTTCTTGTAGTCTAAATTAGTTTATTGAAAGGTTTCTTTCAGTTCTATTATTTTTAAATTATACTTTTCATTTGTAAGATATGTCATACCACTGAATCTCAGGGCATTTTGCCTGCATTTATGAAATCTCAAGACAACCTTAAAATTGTTGGTTTTCTCTTCCAACAGGGATCTTCTCTTGCTGTGTTTGTGCCTGAGAGAGCATAACTGAGCCCTAATTTTTGGGTGCCACACCGGGCCCTACTGTAGTACAAATTATTGTCAGTAACATTCATAATACTGTTTTAAAAATCACTCTGAGATAAATATTTGGATTACCATTTTAGAACTGAAGAAAGTGAATTACCTTTATCTCAGACATTTGTGAATCAGATGAGGAAAAATGTAAAGTTTACAGCAATGAGTAGACTTTTATCATGCAGAAATTGATGCTGACTGAGACATTAGCTAGGGGATGCATTGATGTGACAGAAATTTGGGAAACCACTTTGTTGCTTGAGGCAAAGATGTACATAAACCCAGAATGTGTGTTTTGGCTAACCAGGTAAAATTAAAAATTGTTGAAAGCTATTGAGACTTTTTCCTTAGTGTTAATTATGTGCAGTAGAATTAAGTGAATAACCTTAATATACACTTAAGGAAGATTTTAAATTATGGACCCTGACACTAGATCTGATTCTGTGTGAAAACCACAATGAGGTATTTTTTAATATTTCTAATCTTTGTGAATAAAAATTGTTATTAGTCAAATGTCAAATAAATATCAAAGTTATTAAAGCTCTATTTCTATGTTTGCTTTTCACAAAAAATCAACAACTGAGAAATATCAAACTGTGAGATTCTGTATTTCAGTTCATCTGTAGATACGATTTCTTATGTGATTTTTAGAGTGGATATCACAGACTGCCTAGAATGAAGAATCTCTGTTTGTGGTTTTTTTAAAGATCATAAAGTGACTGGTGATGGTGGGATCTGGGATAAAGGCTCTTCTGTGCTGCCTTGCCTTGTCTCTCCAGTGATGGGAAAATTGATAAGGGTCCCATTCCCTGCCCCATATCCATGACCTTGTAAGGAAGAGGCAGTGAGGAGCTCGACAGCTTGAACATATTAGAGATGCAAAAAATTAACCATGGCAGAGGTAAGGGCATAATTATCTTGTGGGAGAGTCATTAGGAGAAAGAAATCTATGATTTTTGGGAAATGACAGACCAGAAGAAATGCCTTGTTCTGCAAGTGAACAGATTTATCTTGTTCCCAGTGATATGTGCATCCTTTATTGATGGTGGTGCATTTTCCTAATACTGCACACTGATGCATGTCACAGCCTGTTCTCTTGTAATGTTAGTAGACAATATGCAGGCATTAAATGAAAACTTCTTGTTCCTTAGTGCAGTTTTGCTTAGGAAAAAAACAACCAATTAAATGTAATAGTTTTGGTGACTCCTTATAAGCTGCATCCAATGCAAGATATCTGTTACTACCAGGACAAAACACTTATTGTAAGAAAAGCTGAGGGAAAAAAAAAATCAAATAATGTCACCTGAAATGTCTGAGTTACTTGTAAGGCCATACAACCTACCTGTCTCTATCATCAAACTTCTTTACAGTCACAGCAGCATTGATATTTAGCCTTTGTGCTTGAAACAAACAGTCTTTTATTCTAGAATAGTCACACTAGCAATCCTATTAAGCTACCTTGGGTGACTTAGCATAACATTGAACTGTTTTACTGCATGCCTTTGTGAAATTAATATATTTTGAGCTGAGAGATGATCATGGTGAAATAGAAATAAATATTTGAATAGGTAAGGTAAAAACAGAAATGCTGAAAAAGGAAAGTAGAAATGGAAAACTTTCATTCATGAAAATAACAAGCTCATCTAATTTTAAACAGCTGAGATGTACAGAGAAGAAATGCCTTCAAATTTTGGAAGCTAAGCTAGAAATAATATTATAATAAATGAACCTTAATATTATTGATAATCAATATGACTTTGAGTAGCATGGCTCAGAAATGATCAGACCACTTATTTTCAATCAGCTGTAATATGGACAATATCATGAAAGAAAGAGGAAAACGTAATTAGCCCGAGATATTGTTCATTTGTCATACTTTTAAAATGGAATTTTTGCAGAATTACTTGTGTTTGTCTAATATGTGCTTTGAAGTCTATTAGTTTGCACAAGAAAATAGTTCTCCTGGGTAACTCCCTTACAGGAGCCAAACTTTAGAGGGCTGTCTGTGCCAGAGTAAGTTAGACATGAGGTATACGTTGATTAGAAGCCTTTTAGGAGCTGTCCTTGCTTCAAACAGCCTGTGTGTGGCTGATGCAATGAGTCCCACCTCAGCCATCCAGGTTAAACTCCAAGGAAGTGTAAGAAACACAAGGATAGTTACTCTGTGGTCGTACAGCTCTTTCTAGAAGCCCCAGAAAGGTAATCCAATGCAGGACCATCTGCTCTACTTTTGCCTAGAGTGCTGTGCCCAGCCCTGCAGGTGGCTGGTACAGGGATATATGCACACCTTGAGCTTTATTATCAGCAGGCAGACCTATTGCACATGGGGAACAGGCTTCCATGGTGCTTCCCCTAAAGCAAACACATGCCCATTGATTAAAGGGATTCAAGTCATAAAAGCAAACATGAGGAGCATGGGGGAGCTTTGGAGGGCTGGAATCCTCCTAGGGGATCAAGTTGAGGATTGTTCTCTCCTCTGTCTTGAAAATCAGAAGAAAAATATAAATAACTTCTTTTTTTGTGATATTTGAAGTGCTGAATCTTGCATGGTGGAATTACAGTGTTGCAACACTGGGAGCTGTGATGATTTGATGTTTGGGACTGCCCAAGGTTAAGAAAAATTGTAAAGTTCCAAGGGATTCAAAAGCAATACTCAGAGTCCTGCAGTTGCACAGAGGCAAGCCCTGAGAACAAGCAATACACTTGATTATGTTACATATTGCTGCACTTGAGAACTGACTTAATTCCACATGTCTTGCCTCCAGAGTCTTCAGAGACAGTTGATCTTTTTTGACTTCTCGTGGAGGAGAATAGCCTCTGGATGCAGTTGGACAGGTAAGCTGATGACATTTTAAAGGAACTCCATATTTGAAAACCTAGAGTCTTTTTTTTTTAAAAAAAAAAAAGAAAACAAAAAGCAAATATAATAGTAACAACTTGTTTGGTAAAAATATGAGCTCCCAGCAAAAGAACTTTTCAAAGAGCACTCCTTTGTGTTTTCAGAGTAGAGTTGGACTAATGAGGTGTGGATAGTAGGGGACCATAGTTTATGAATGGATGACCCTTCCTTAAGCAATGTAAAGTTTGTATATGTATTGGTAGGTTCTCACAAGTCATCCAGACAAATCTGTGACCCAGTTTTGCAGTCTCTAATTGACTGAAACCAACGGCAGTTTCTCTTTCTCAAAAGAAGACTGGAGCAGAAAACTTTCTAATAAAAAACCAAGTCTTAACTGTCTCAAAAGGGTTGGATTTCAGTATTCCAAACTGAAAAACTGAATGTCTCCGGTGGGTTGGTTGTGCAATGAAATGGTATTCAAGGAATGAAAAAGGTTGTCAGATTCTGGCTGGTGCCCAGTGGTGCATGTTTACTGAAGCCACGTGTATCTCACAGGAAACGTTGAGATATCTGTTAGTACCATTCTACCATTAACATAAAAAAGCAATAGCTAAAAATATCTTATTGACATTTTATTTTCAAGGAAAAAATAAAGACAGACAGTGTGGGGGTGTTTGTACATGTGAGAGATGGATCACATGGATGATTTGAAATTCATGTAATTTCTAAAGAAAGGTTATTCAATCCATGGCCTGTGGCCACTGCTGGACCCTCAGACAAGAGAAAGCCATTCACACAGTAATTACACTCTGCTAACTGCTGACTATCCTAGCTCATTTGCAAGTTGTAAATCCAGTGATTGTGCTGAGAACTATAAAATAATGTTGTCTTTAATTCAGTTGTCTGAAGTACTAAGAGTACGAACAGCCTTACCTTCATGGCTAGTAAGCGTAACAAAAGAAGGCAGATGAAGAGCCAGGAACAAATCTGAAGATTTTTATATCAATATTTCCATAGAAGCTCAATCAGGCTGTGATGGTGCATTTCCAAAGTGGAAACTTGCCTGTTTTTATCCTGGTGTGAGAGAAGTGAAACTCCCAGCAAGAAAGGTGTTTGAGCTCTGTGTTACCAAAAGTGATTACACGGTGATTGGGGTTGGAAGGGACCTTAAAGATCACCTTCCACTAGACCAAGTCTGAATTCTGTTCTTTGTGACTGAAACATGATTTAGCGCACAGGAACTGAAAAAATATGTCTTTTCCATATACATCCTGGACAAATGCAGTGATATCTTTTAAAGCCAGAAATAAACCAAATTTGTAATGCGTAAAAATGTCACACTTTAACAGTTCTGCTGTTGTGTATGAGAGATTGCTATAGTTGTCTGAGCCCTACAGACAGCACTTTTTTACCATTCAGGAAATCCTCTTCTATTAATATACTAAACAGAGAAATGAGAAGTGCCTTATTTATACAATGATTTTAGAATAATTTGCAAGGAACCTTCCTAAATAAAGCTCATAAACTGTCACCACCTCTTCCAAAGCAGACTTGCTCTATATTTATATCCTCATAAATGGGACCAGACTCTGACACAGTGAATCTGTATCACTGAAATGCTGAGAAATCAGCAGGATGTTTCTGCTGACTCAGGCCCCTTGTACAGTTGTTTGCTGTCCCTATGCAAAGTATTGTGCATGAAATATTAGAACTCAAGACTGGACTGTTTTCTAAACTATCTGTCAAACCAAAAAAGCCTCTCTAAAGTTTCTTGGCTTTGTGTGTGTGGGTGTAATACATAGATCTCCAAATGGGATACTGTTCCTTTTGCTGCCCTGGGTGTGTGTATAGTTATGACACCACTCTCCAGGTCTGCACAGCATCACAGCCACCCCTTTCAGCTGGTTCATCCTGGCAATCAGAAGCGTCACAATCTACACCTCTTTTACAGAAATTATCTTTTTCCTGTGTTCTCATTTTTCTCCTTGCATAGATTGCTGTAGTAGCATTTCCTACCCTCGGTGGAATTTTCATGAGGCAAAGCTGAATTTTTATCTTAGCTGTGCAAGTAATTTTGCTGGATATCCTCCTGTTTTCTATTTCTGGACCAACAGTGCTGTAAGCTACTTAGATAAATGCTAAACCAGGTCTTGAGGTAGTGTTTGGTAAGGCTGAAAGTGATGTTTCCTCTTTTGTAGTATGGTATCTAGTCTATCATTGTGCAAATGTCAGGTGTTTTGTTATAGCAAGAGTGAAAGAAAAATAAACATCGTGGTGGTGGAAAAAAGGAAACGTGAAATCAAATAACTTGTAACATGTTAATCAAAATATACCTGATTTGAACTAAAATAGCCTTATAATGATTTTACTGCAGCTGCTAAAATCATTGTGTTTAATAGAATATTATGCAGACTGAGAAAAGATACTTTTGCTTTTGGGTGCATTTATTTCTGCAAAGAAAAAGTGTTTTGCTTTCCTCTGCCATATACCAGGATACGTCCACATGTGAAAAGAGAAAATCTCTTTCTTTTTTCCTGTTGTACATTTTATGCTTCTGAATTACTTAAATATGTCCTAAAATGAGATTTCTGTGCTGTGTCCTATTTGCATTCAGGAAGGCTGAAACTATTTGTGGTGTAAGGCATCTGTGCTGAGCTACATTGAGAGCCAGCAGCGAGTGGAGGCAAAATGTTGTGTGTGAGTAGCATCACACCTGAGTGGCAGAGGTGCCACTGGTCTGGCTGTGGTTTAAACCACCTTTTGGTCTGACTGTAGTTTAAACCATCCCTTACTGGAATGGCCTGATTTTTTTTTAATTGATTATGAACTTGGACTTTCAGGCAAGCATTGATATTAGACGTCAGCACGATCTTCTGCATTTCAAACTCTTCTGGGGGAAACATATACGAGCAAGTACTTATGTATGCATAAGTATCAAATTTAATCTATGCAGGAGGGGGGCTTTGCAATGAAATGTTGCTCCTAATGAAGTCATACTGTTATTCCTTGGACAGAACCAATCCCTTCCCTTTGATGAAACTCTTTTTAGCTGCAGGGCCTGGCATGTCCTGGATCTGTGTGGGGAGATGGGCAGCCAGCCAGCTGCTGCCTTTGAGAGTCCACTGAGACTCCAGCAGAGCAGAACTTCTGATGTAATGTAAACAGATAAAGTTAACAAAAATTTATGACTGATGTTTGGGGTTTAATCATTCATGATTTAATATAATCAGATATATGCTACATTAATTAAATCAGATTCCAGACGTATGCATCCCTAAAGAGAAACATTGATAGGGCAAAGAATTTGGTATGTTTTCCGAATGTTTTTTTTGCATTTCAGAGTGAAACCTATGTGATTTTTTGGAGAAAATCCACTTAAAATTAGACATCAATTGTTTGGGGTTTTTATCCTAACTATATTTCTGGAGAGTTTCACTGCACAGGGAATATGATGGTTATTTTTGTATGCTTAAGGGTAACTTATATGGATATTTAGTGACTTACATAGAGCACAGTTCTGTCTTTGTTCACCTATGATCTGCAAATTGTTGCAAATGTAATTCTTCATGAATAGGAATTTCAGATGTGTCTTATTCATATCTATAAATGAAGATACAACAAGCAACAGGTTTGGTGCAAAAGCTGGACTTTATGTACTACTTTATCATGTTCTATCACAAAGAAAAGCATCTATATCTAGTGTCTTGCTTCTTGTGATCACAGACACAGTAAAGATTGAGAATCCTGGGGTTCAGGAATATTAATCAGTCTAAAATACAGTCTGACTATGTCTTATCATGCATCTTTCTGAGTGTAGCTGACCTCCACCTGGAAAATGTTTCTTTTTCTTATTGTTTCTTGGTAAAAACTGTATTGCCACAAACAGGCCACAAACATCTGGCCTGTTATTTAGAAATAAATAAGGAGGATTTGTGGGACAATCATCTAAAATGTTAACATGTTATTTTTTTCTGTGTTTCAAGTGAATAGAGTGGACATCCTTCCTGGCCTCCTGGAGAATGCAAGTCCTCTAGGCCCTGGCATATGCAACTGCAATTGGTGTCTGAGACTTTATGGGAGTAGATCGTATTGGCATTGTTTGTGCATTCAACTGCATTCAGTGGAATCATACCTATGAAATGAGGAAGTTTTGTTCTTACCTTGAAGTATATGTAAAGCAGAAACTGAAGAATATTGTCCTTAAGAACAGCAAGAGTAAAATTATGCGACTTTTTAAATGAGTAGGCTTATTGCTTATGCAATTTGGTAGTAAACCAGAGCTCTGCATCCATGTCACTATAATCAGTTTTTCACTCCACACCTCAGAAGTCTGATTTTATTTGGATTTTATTAAATGGTCTTAAAATACCTTGCTTCCTTCCAGCTAAATCAAATACTGGTTGATTCCCAATCCTCCACTTCATCTTAATTTAAATTTAACATGTCTTTTTGGTCCCAGTTGGGTTAAAGTTTCTAATCTGTAGCTCAACCTTTGCTATTCTAGTGTGTATATATTGCAGAATCCTCCTTCTTTGCTATATGATGATCCAGATCTAAGATTTAGCAGACTTGTCTTACAAAAATATAATTCAATACATTCACATACCAGTGATAAGTTTGCAGACAATTTCCTTCTTTTGAAATCTTTGTATGAAAAGAGCTATTAAAGTGGCAGCTACATTTGGGTTGCTCACTGTATGGTGAGATTTTTGCATTCTTCTGCATAGAATTAAAGTCATTCTGCTGTTTTACTGGAATATCTTTTGGAAAAAGGCATAGATGACAACATTTAGCATTGACATTCTTAATATTCCTTGGGACCAAAATCTTGGCTATGATGAAGTCAACAGCAAAGCTCCTGTTGGTTGGATCTGAACTTGATTTGATGAGTGAATGCAAAGGAAGCACCTGGTACTGATGGTGAGGGAAGGAATTAATTAATAGACTTAGAAGGAAAAAGAAGATTTTACTTAGTGTTTGAAGAAACCATCAGAGC